ATTTCAGACTTGTATCAGGGTGGCTGACAGGAATCATACGTGTATGCAGAGAACTCAGATACTATGGGAAGAAATTTAAGTAGATGGTGAAGGTGGTAGCATTCGGGGGCAGTGACACTCACCGCTTTTTCTTCTGGACATACATTACCTGTAAGAGAGAGAGCACTGTGGAGGCTGGGAACCCAGGATGGCCCACCCACCTCCACACCCTCCACTCCACTGTAACAGCAGGACAGCAGCCCTGCTCAACAAAGGTGTGGTTGTGTATGTGTGAATGTGGGAGCTCCTTACCACAGCCACCACCACCCCGACCAGGGTGATGAGGAAGAAAGGCCCCAATACATAGCCCACCATGGAGTCGCTGTTGGCCTGGGGGTCAGTGGGCACTGTGGTGTTACTCATGACATCGGCAGCTGGAGAGCTGGGTAGTCAGCATGGGCAGTAGTGCCTCGGGAGGGTGCCTCCACTGGGCTCCCTGGGGAGGAGGAAGGGAGGTTATCCATTTCACCCAGGGTGACATCAGGCTCTGGATCCCTCCTCAAGAGCGGGGGTGATGTATGAAAACTTAGGTCAGGCACTGGGATGAGGGATCCTCCAAGTCAATGTGATGAGTTTAATCCTCCAATGACTCTCAGCAAACCCTGGGTATAAAAGGCACCTAAGGAAGGCCCAGACCCAGAGCCTAAATTCTGCCCAGCTCTTATCCCCAAATCACGGTGGGGCCCAGCTGCTGGCCAAACACTTGCAGATATCAGCTCCTGGGGAAAGGTTAGATGTAAGTTTCCAGCTCCTGCCCCAACCTCCTGGGGCTGCCAGCTCCTATCCAGTGAAGCAAAATGGGGAGATTAGGTAAAAACTTGAGAGTCCTGCACTGTGGCATAGGGGGTGAAGTAGGAGCATTTGAAGGAGCGCAGCCTCAGTTCTGATCCAATGCCCACATTTCAAGCTTTAGGCCCTATGTCCCCCTTGTCCCCGCTGTCACTCCAGACATATAGCCTGGACACCCTCTCCCCCATCTGTCTTCTGCCAGGGTGGACACAAATGGGCAAGGCTGGACTGTACCTGCAAGATGATGTCACCTCCCTCTGGTCCCCACCCAGGGCTCCGCCCAGGTCCTTTCCCTCCAGGCCTGGATTGAGATGCGGAGAGAGTGAGCTGCCATCGACAGATGTAAGGAGACTGCCATGGGCGGCTGCACAAAGATGCCCCAAGGTCCCTGACCCCAGTTTGCCTGGGTCTCCATATGAGCTACCTGTCCCGGTGTCCGTGGGGGTCACTGGGTTTGCCCAATCGCACGCACACCGTCCCATGGTCGAGGATACATGTCGAAGTGGGGAGGGAGTGTCAGGCCGCTCCTAGGATGCGGACCAGCAACGGCGAGCGGGAGGTAGGTCTCACGGCTCTGGGAGGCTCAGGCCGGGAGAGGGAGTCTGAGGGGAGCGCAGAGAGGCCAGGGCATCCTGGAACCCCGGCAACCCGAGGCATGGACCCGTGCCGGCGCTCTGCAGCCCATTCAACCCAGCCGTGCCTTACCTCCCGCCGCTGCAGCCCGGACAGGAACGCCCTCGGTCTGCTCCAGGGCCCCGGAAGAACCTGGAGGCGCGTGATCAAAGGACCCGGGGAAATGGGCGGAGCCCCAGCACCCGGGCGCAGCCAATCCGGTGTCGGAAGGCTGACGGCCCGGACACTTCTGGAGCGGCCAATCCAGAGGCGGGGAGTGGGCGGTACGAAGTTGGGGACTCCCCAGGTTGCAGGGTACATCCCGCGGCAGCAGGGGGCAGCCGAGGGTTGCGCAGCGGGGGGTGGAGGTCGCTAGGGGAGGGGGCGGGGCGCATGGTTTCCCGGCGTGCCCTGGGGCAGACCCCAGCTGTGCGCCCGCGGTTGGGATTCAGATTCCTAGGCGAGTCCCGGTGTCTGCCCCGCTTCGCGTCTGGTTGGAGCCCAGGTATAGAGCCAAGCCCAGGCGTGAGGCGACTGGCGGCGCGTCCCTGACGGCAGGACCCTGCCCCATTAGTGTGTGTTGAGTCCTCCACGCTTCCTAGTGCCGATTATCCCTCTGGGCTGCGCGCAGAGGACCGAGTAGGCAGACTGGGTTAGCTCCCGCCCAACCTTGGACCCAACCGTACTCTCTGCGCCTCATTTTTAATGTCTGTAACATAGGGTGCTGTGACGATTAGACGATGACATGGGTACCGAGCATAGCATACAACATGCCCTGGATGTTAAATTTCCCGTTAACCTTTTTTGGGGAGGGGGCACAGCTGAGGCAGCGGGGTGAAGTCCCCTGGGTTACAGGTAGTTTGCTAAGTAGGCAAGCCTGGGTCGAAGCTTTCATGGTCTGATAATTGAAATGTCGTTAGAGATCTGAATAAAATTGGTGGATTTTACCAATGTCAATATCCTGATTATAATATACTGTAGTTTTGCAAAAGTTGTCATTGGGAGGAGCTAGGCAAAGTGTACAAGGGATCTCTATCTTAAAACTGCAGGTGATGTACAATTACCTCAAATGTGTGTGCATGTACGCACGCGTAGTTTTGTACCAGACCCTCTTCTACCCCTCAGAATCATATGTAACTAGGAAAACTCCAAACTGGCAGGTAATGGAAACCACCTTAGAACATAAAGGTTGTGGTAGCCAAAACAGGCTGATGTCCTCCTGCGTCCTCAGGTGCTCCTGGAGATACAGGGGTGGCCCGGGTCACCCTATTTTTGCCAGAGGCAACCAATGGCATGGACATGATTGAACCTTTTTGTCTGGTGTGACTTCAGTTTCCTCCTGACCTTCCAGAGAAGGTTGGATGAGGGCAGGTCTGGTGTAGAGATGACCCAAATGGAAACAGCAGGTGGGAGCTCTGGCCTCTTGCCTCCAGATACCACCATCTGACTGTGGTGGGGAATCAGACAAAGGGAAAGGAGTGAGAAACACCTGGGTCTGGAGGCTCCAGGTAAATTTCCTGGTGTTCTCAGGTTTTTTGGTCTTTAGAGTAGACTTTTATCAGAGCTGAGGGCAGAGAGAGGAGGCCACTTCCCCAGAAGAGGCCTGCTTCACTTTGCAAGGAATTAGGGATCAAGTGATAAGTTTCAGTTTTTTCTATTTGTTTTCCCACAGTATTTGTTAATTATTTATTTATCAACAGAAACTGTTCCTAAGCCCAAATATTCACATTTCACAGGTCAGTGACAAGGTCCATGGAATTCAACCCAAAGAAATTTTTTACATTCCAAAATCATTTTGCACTCTGAAAGATATCAGCCTTCCTCATCTCCTCAAAATCTTTCATAGAATCATAAATTCCGTAGAAATCTTTGCATGCCTTCTTTCTTGTTTCAGCCACAGCATACTTATAGAAAGCTGCAACCCCCAGGAATACAGTGACTGCTCCAAAAATATGAAGTCACAGACACTTGACCAGAAGGCCACATATCCGAGGTTTTGTCAAAGCACTGTAAGCTATGGTAGTTATTCTCCTCGACACCAAGTCCTTTCTGACTCAAGTGATAGGTTTTAGAACCCAGGCCTCGTCTGCTCACGCACCCAACATTTGTCCCCATCCTCAGGGCTTCCAATCACATATCTTGAAGGCCTGCTTGTCCTAAGAGCAGGCCTAGTGGTCACAGTGGCTAGACCAGTGTATGGAAAGGGCACTGGGGTCTCAGTGTCAGAGATTTGGCATGTTTTTACTTCCCTTACTCCTAGAACAGAATATCATTCTGAGCTAGGTATGGCAGGTGGGGCAACCCCAATTTAAAAATGAGTAAGCTGAGTCCATGAGGAGTGTGATGATTTCCCAAGGCCCTTGGCGTGCTCAGCAAGGGTTGGGCAGAATGGGATGACAGGTGGGTCCTTCTTCCTGGACAGCTCTGTGCTGGCAGCTGCTCCAGGGCTGCATTTGAGACCTGATTTGTTCCTGTGTTGAGGCAGACTGTGGTAAGTTAAAGATATATACTATAAATCCTAAAGCAACTAGTAAAATAACAGTTATAGCTAATAAACTAACAAAAGAGATAAAATAGAATAAAAAATACTGAAATAATCCCAAAGGAGTCTGAAAAAGAGGAAAGGGGGAACGCAGAACAAATGAGAGAACTAGAAAACAAGATGATAAACCGAAACCTAACTATATCAAAATCACATTAAAAGCTAATTAAAAGGAAAAGATTGATAGAATGGATAAAAAAGCAAGACCTAATTATATGCTGCCCACAAGAAATGTACTTTGCATATAAAGATTCAAATAGGGTAAAAGTAAAAAAGATTTTAAAAGATACACCATGCTTATGCTAGTCAAAAGAAAGCTGGGATGGCTAAAATGATAATCAGACAAAGTTGATTTCAGAGCACAGAATATTACCTGGGATAAAGAAGCTCAGTTCATAATAACAAAGGGGTTAATTAATCAAGGACATAATATTTCTAAATGTTCATGTGCCCAAGAGGAGGGCTTCAAAATACATGAAACAAAAACTGATAGAACTGCAAGAAAAAACAGTCACAATTATAGTAAGAGATTTCAATACTACTCTTTCAGTAATTGATAAAACAAGTAGACAAATCAGCCAGGATATAGTAAACTTGAACGACACTAGCAACCAACTTGACCTGACTGACATTTAGAGAATACTTCACCTAACAATAACAGAATACATATTCTCAAGTATGCACAGAACATTTATGGGTCATAAAACAAGAATGAAATTTGAAAATGTTACACTATGTGAAATAAACCAGTCACAAAAGGACAAATACTATATGATTTTACTTTTATGAGGTCAAATTCATAGAGACAAAGGAGAATGGTAGTTGTCAGGGGCTGGAGGGTGGAGAGGAATGAAGAGTTATTGTTCAGTAGGTATGGAGTTTCAGTTTGGGAAAGTGAAAGAAGTTCTGAAGATGGATGGTAGTGATGGTTGTACAACAAAGTAGTTAATGCCACTGAACTGTATACTTAAAAATGGTTAAAAATGTTAAAAAAAAAAAAATCCAAGTGTATGCTCTTGCAAGAGACCCACTTTAGATCTGAAGACACAAATAAGTTGAAAGTGAAGGATGGAAGAGATATTCCATGCAAAGAGTAACCAAAAGAGAGCTAGAGTGGCTATCCTAATATCAGACAAAATAGATTTTAAGGCAAAAACTCTTACAAGTGACAAAAGAGGACATTTTATATTGAAAGAAGGGTCAATTCATGAAGAAGCTGTAACAATTACATGTTCACCAATCAACAGAGTCCCAAAATATATGAAGCAAACATTGAAAGAATTGAAGGTAGAAATAGACAATTCTGGAATAATAGTTGGACACTTCGATACCCTACTTTCAATAATGGATAGAATATCCTATACAGAAGATCGATAAGGAAATAGAGTACTTGAAAAACACTCTAAACCAACCTGACCCAGCAGACATACAGCACACTCCACCCAACAACAATATACATTATTCTTAAGTACACACGGAACATTCTCCAGGATAGATCATACATTAGGTCACAAAACATATTTTATTAGATTAAAAAAAACCTCCTAACAAAGAAAAGCCCAGGATCAGATGGCTTCACTGGTGAATTCTACCAAATGTCTAAAGGAGAATTAACACCAATCCTTCTCAAACTCTTCCAAAAAACTGAAAAGAAAGGAACACTTTTGAATTCATTTGAACTCAGCATTGCTCTGATACCAAAGCCAGACAAAGACATAAAAGAAAAAGCTACCGGTAAATATCTCTTATTAATATAGATGCTAGGCCATAAAAGGATTCTCAGTAAATTTAAAAGGATTGAAACCATACGAAGTATCTTCTCTGACCACAGTGGAATGAAGCTAGAAACTAATAACAGGAAAATTACACAGTCTTGAAAAACTAATGGGTCAAAGAAGAAGCCACTAGGGAAATTAGAAAATACTTTAAGATAAATTAAGATGTACCAAAACTTATGGGAGTAGTAAAAGCAGTACTTGGTGAGAAATTTATAGAGGATCTCAAATCAACAATCTGACTCTTATACCTTAAGGAACCAGAAAAAGAAGAGCAAACTAGCTCTAAAGTCAGCAGAAGGAATAATAAAGGTTAGAGAAAAGATAGGGGAAAAAGAAGGGGAAAAAACCCAAAGCAATAGAGAGAACCAACAAAACAAAAAGTTGGTTCTTTGAAAAGATAATAAAACTGACAAAACTTTAGTTAGACTAAAAAAAAATAGATGCAAATAACTAAAATCATCAATGGAAGCTGGTACATCACTATTGCCTTTACGGAATTTCAAGGATTATAAGAGAATGCTATAAACAGCTGTATGCCAAAAAGAGAATCTGGACAAAATGCAGGCCTAACATGGTATTTACTTCCCCCCAGTTTCCTTCACCTTCTGAACCTGACTCATCCCCAAACTATTTTTCCCCTTGTCCTCCAGTCTCCTCCAGGCTTCAGCTCCCTCAACAATGAGATGAGGATCAAAGTACTTGCATCTCTGGGTAGATGTAGAGGTCAGGGCCCTGCCCCTGGCCCTATATAGGCAGTTTAGGTGTTTAAGGCATTGTCTGAACTGATAGGAAAGTACTTTGGAAACTGGAAAGCATTAGTCAAATGTTAGCTCTTATAACTGGCCCACTCA